TATAATTAGGAACAACCCCTCCTTCTAGACCAGGCAAACTCAGGGTAAAAGGTGTTCACAAGGGTGGGTTAGGCTACCTGCTCATCCACTCCCCCACCCCCTGTTCTTTCTAGTCTTGTAAACCACTTTTTATGAAAAGAAAAGCCCTTTCTGTCTGGTCTTTGAGACCCTTTTAAATCTTGTGGTCAGAGCATTCTCCCTACTGAAATCATCTTTTGTATAATCTCTCTCTCTCTCTCTCTCTCTCTCTCTCTCTCTCTCTCTCTCTCTCTCTTTTAAATTGATTTCAGAGAGGAAGGGAGAGGGAGAGAGACGGAAACATCAATGATGAGAGAGAATCATTGATTGGCTGCCTCCTGATGCCCCCTACTGGGAATTGAGGCCGCAACCCGGGCATGTGCTCTTGGCTGGAATCAAACCGGAGACCTTTCAGTCTGCAGGCCAACGCTCTGAATTCTCTCTTTAAATAAACCCAGAATTTTTTAGTTGACAGTGTTAAATATGTGTTCCATGTGTGCTTAAAAAATATAGTCTCGCCCTAACCTGTTTGGCTCAGTGGATAGAGCGTCAGCCTGCAGACTGAAAGGTCCCAGGTTTGATTTCGGTCAAGGGCACGTACCTTAGTTGCAGGCACATCCCCAGTGGGGGGTGTGCAGGAGGCAGCTGATCGATGTTTCTCTCTCATTGATGTTTCTACCTCTCTATCCCTCTCCCTTCCTCTCTGTAAAAAAATCAATAAAGTATATATTAAAAAATATATATAGTCTCGCCGGGCCAGTGTGGTTCAGTGACTGAGAGTTGACCCATGCACCAGAAGGTCACCAGTCTGATTCCTGGTCAGGGCACATGCCCAGATTTCAATCGGATTCCCCAGCAGGGGGTGTGCAGGAGGCCGATGATTGATGTTGATGTTTCTTATGGATGTTTCCATTCTCTCTCCCTTCCTTTATCTCACTCACTAAAAATATAATTTAAAAATTTATATATATGGTCTGTGATTTTGTGACATAGAGTTTAATTCACAAGGTCAAACTAACGTTTACATTTTTCAGTTTTTTGAAGTCTTCAATCATTTTAAAAAAATATATTTTATTGATTTTGTACAGATAGGAAGGGAGAGAGATAGTTAGAGACATCAATGAGAGAGAAACATCGATCAGCTGCCTCCTGCACATCTCCCACTGGGAATGTGCCCGCAACCAAGGTACATGCCCTTGACTGTAATCGAACCTGGGACCCCTGAGTCTGCAGGCCAACACTCTATCCCAGGGGTGGGCAAACTTTTTGACTCGAGGGCCACAATGGGTTCTTAAACTGGACCAGAGGGCCGGAACAAAAGCATGGATGGAGTGTTTGTGTGAACTAATATAAATTCAAAGAAAACATCATTACATAAAAGGGTACGGTCTTTTTTTTTTTTTTTTTTTTTTTTTTTTTTTAGTTTTATTCATTTCAAACAGGCCGGATCTGGCCCGCGGGCCGTAGTTTGCCCACAGCTGCTCTATCCACTGAGCCAAACTGGTTTCAGCGTCTTCAATCATTTTGAAGTTTTTAATAACCTAATTATTTGTGTCTCTTTTATAATGATACCAGAGGCCCGGTGGGGTTGGGCCAATGGAGTCCTGCCAGCAGGGGGACAGACGGTAGTAGGGACCACGGGAAGTTGGCTGGTTGGGGGAAGGGACAGCGGGAGGTTGGCCAGCCATAGGAGGCTGGCTGTGGGAGCCCACTGAACACCAGGGGCAGCTCCTGCATTGAGCATCTTCCTCCTGGTTGTCAGTGCGTGTCATAGCGACTGGTCAACCTGTTGTTCTGGTCTTTCAGTTGCAACTGTCACTTAGGCTTTTATATACATAGATTACAGGGAGATATATGTCAAAACTTTTAGTGAATAAGGAAATATTGCTTTTATTCGTGTGCATATGTTCATTTCACTCCATTGTAAATTTTATAAGCAGCAAAATTCCCCGTGAACAAAATGGATGCTTGACTTTGATCTGTAATTGGGTTTTCCCAAACAGTTCTGAGTTTGATAAAAAGTTCATAGCCATTTGCATCTGAAAATGGGAGCCTGTTTTGAAAGCTCTTTTGTGGTAACATGGCTGGTTGGCCATATTACTACATACAGTAAATCTACATAATCTACCTTGTCAAGATTGTCAAATCAAAGTCAAACATTGTATTAAAAACACATATATTCAGGAAGCTAATGCTTGGAATGGTTTGATAAAAAGATGGGTTAAAGCTTTCAGTTAAACAACAAGAAAGCCCACTGCATGGGAGAACATATTTGCCAATGTTATCACCGATGAGGGTTTAATATCCAACATTTACAGGGAACTCATACAAGTTAACAAAAGAAAGATAAACAATCCAATCAAAAAATGGGCAATGGACCTAAATAGATACTTTTCAAAAGAGGACATAAGCAAGGTCAAGAGACATATGAAAACACGCTCAAAGTCACTAATCATCTGAGAGATGCAAATCAAAACAACAATGAGGTACCATCTCACACCTGTCAGAATGGCTATCATCAACAAATCAACAAAGGACAAGTGCTGGCGAGGATGTGGAGAAAAAGGAATCCTCGTGCACTGCTGGTGGGAATGCAGACTGGTGCAGCCACTGTGAACAGTAAGAGTTTCCTCAAAAAACTAAAAATAGAATTCCCATTTGACCCAGTGATCCCACTTCTAGGAATATATCCCAAGAAACTAGAAACACCAATCAGAAAGGATATATGCACCCCTATGTTGATAGCACAATTCACCATAGCTAAGATTTGGAAACAGCCTAAGTGCCCATCAACAGATGAATGGATTAGAAACCTGTGGTACATCTACACAATGGAATACTACACTGTGGTAAACAAGAAGGAATTCTTACCATTTGCAACAGCATGGATGGAACTGGAGAGCATTATGCTAAGCAAAATAAGCCAGTCAGAGGAAGATAAATATCACATGATGTCACTCATTTGTGGAATATAATGAACAACATAAACTGATGAACAAAAACAGATCCAGAGACAGAGAAGCATCGATCAGATCATCAATCCTCAGAGGGAAGGTAAAGGAGGGAGGGGTAAGTGGGAGAGATCAACCAAAGGACTTGTATGCATGCATATAAGCCTAACCAATGGACACAGACACTAGGAGGGTAAGGGCATGAGTAAGTATGAGAATCTCCTACTTAGGGAAGGTGTCTTAAAATATAATGTATTGGACAATGTATTTTACCAAGAGTCAAACTTTAACAAACTTTAGTAAATATACATGTAAAAGAAATCTTAAAAATACATTGTGTGGCAAAGTTCTTATCCAAATGTCAACAGTTGGGGTGTAATCATGATATTGAGTTTATAATGAAATCTTACACATTGTATGAGTAGTGATGTTCAAATCTTACAAAATATTAGGTAAGTCAAATGTAATGAATGTCAAAAGAGGCATAACCTGGGGAAACATCACATATGAATATGGCAGTGACAACTTATCAATTTATTATATGCTAAAGGAGAGTTTATCCAAAATGCCTTTATCTCATTAAAAATTCTTACTGGACAGAAATGTTGCACATGTAGGGATTTGAGAGGAAAATGTAATTCATGATGGATATGATGTCATAGATATTGCTTTAAAGTTTCTTGAAGGTTTGAATGAGGCCTCTGGAAATTGACCAGATTGCTTTACTTTCTTTAAGATTCATCTGAAAGAGGATAGACATCTCTACCAAATGTCTTTAGGAACATTGTAAAAGTTTTCTATAGGTAAAAGCAAATTCTATTGTCTTCTAAAGGGTACATTTATTCTACAGAGTTTATTGTCCACACCTGAGAGAACCTCATAAGTAGAAAACAAGTAAAACAGCTAAAATGTAAAAAAAAAAAAAAATTCATAGGTAAAAATATTCTTTCCTGTATAAACATTAAGTAAATTTGGAATTGAATTGTATAGAGAAGTCAATAACAAATGAATTACCATGTCACAAACATTTATCTCAATAAATGTGTTTGAATTTATCATTCCCCTCATAACATATAAACAATACAATTTATATCTATTTTGTAAAAGTTATTGCTGCATATTTTCTAAAAAGCCTGGATGGTGACCTAAATTATGACATGCTTCATCCCTCCAGGTTTTGTCCTTATACAATTCTCTGCAACTGACCCAGGACATCACAGGGTGAGTGGGGAATGGGAATGGAAATGGTGTTCTGATAGATGTTGGTCTGCGAGGGCCTGTTTCCCAAAGGTAGAATTTTGAATTTTACATTCAAGTTTGCATCTCCTGCACAGACAACTGCACTCCTTGCTTCATTAAACTACTTATTTGGTTCGTTGCTCGATTCAGTCATCGCTCCACCACAACTGGATGTCCAGGTTCCCAGACCACAGAGCTGGAGTTCAGCTGGCATCTCTGACAGTCCCCACAGGTGAGTGCACCACTTTCCAACAGAAGTTTTGAGCAAATCCGTTTTCATCCTGTTAAAACAAAGACATTGTAGCTTTCAACTTAAGTGGTACATATTTGCCAAATTTTACATTAAACAGTTTGAAATATCAACTTAAAATGGGCAGGGAGTATTCCTGCTTTACAGGGCACAATAGAAATTGCACAGGTTCAGAATTCAGAAAATACAAACTGTGAGGCAAGAGGACAGGAGTCAGGACCCAGTTAGCATCCCTGGCGACGCTGACCCTGGTCATCATCCTGGGGGCTGGGCTCCACCGTCGAACCCGAAACCCGACTGTGGGCCGCAGCCCGACCACCTTTTCCGCCTGCACGCAACGCCCACCCTTAGCCACAGCGCATTCCAGCGCCTCCCCAGTGCCTGGGGCTCAGCCCAAACCAAGCGCCCCAGGTGCAGCCTCCGAGTCTAACCCCAGTTCTCGCCCCCCCCCGCTTCGGCCCCGCCCCGCCCTCTCGTTGTCCCCGGAGCCCTGGCCGCCCCGAGCCCCACCACGCCCTCTTTGTCGCCCCGCGCAGGCGCAGTTACTTCCGAACCCGGAAGCGGCTGGTGCGGAGGGGAGGTAACCGTGGCGTCTGAGACCTTTGGTCTTTCTCCTTTAAACTTCAGCATCTCAGCCCACAGCCCTGCACGTGTGAAGCCCGGGGGCCGAGGAGACCTTGAAACCCCGAACCCGCCTCCCATCAGCGGTAAGTCTCGCGTCCCGGTGAGACCTCTGACCCCGAGGGCTTCGCTGCGGGATTGAGACCCGCGTTCCCTGTGGCTGAAACTGTGGAGTCCTCTCTGCCTGCGGTCTGCCTTCCCGGGGCCCCTGCGCACCGCCCGCGCGTGGTTTTCCTGCTAAAACCGTTCACGGGCCAGCCCTCCCCCCAGGCCATTAAAGTGATGGGAGATGGAGTCAAACCCTCTCTCCCTCTGCAGCCTCGAGTTCCCGGCCTGTAGAGCCGGATTCCTCCCTGGCCTGGGAGTATAGACACCCCCCTTTCCAGTTGCTCCCACCCCCGCCCCCCACGTCCCACTTAGTAGGTATGAGGCCGGATCAGTGAGGGGGCCCAAGAGGATTCCGCAAAGTTGAGGACGTGGAAGGTCCTTGCTAACAGACTGTAGGTATGAAAGAGGAACTCGGGAAAGTGGTAACTGGAGGACAAATAGAGACCATGGAGGAAAGGGGGGAGCTGTACAGACGTGAAGGGGACCAAAAGGGTGAGGAGCCCTTGGTTAGCAGAGGTGGGGCCCCGAAGGGCGAGGTACCTGAGATGGAGAGAGTCAGGGGGAAAAGTTGGATGAGGCCAGTGCAGGGGCTGGAAGGGAGGAAGGGATGACCGAGCCCAGCAAGAATCAGCACTGTGTGGCCCTGGCCGGTTTGGCTCAGCGGATAGAGCGTCGGCCTGAGGACTGAAGGGCCCCAGGTTCAGTTAGGGTCAAGGGCATGTACCTTGGTTGCGGGCACATCCCCAGTAGGGGGCGTGCAAGAGGCAGCTGATCGATGTTTCTCTCTCATCGATGTTTCTCTATCCCTCTCCCTTCCTCTCTTTAAAAAATCAATAAAATCTTAAGGGGAAATGAAAAAAAAAAAAAAAGAATCAGCACCGTGCTCTTAGCCAGGCGGTGGTGCCAGGGAGTCTGGCAGGAGAGGTGGAACCTGAAAGACAGAAGGGAAGCAGAAGGGACACAGGGATGGGGGAGAAAGGTGGGGAACAATCAGAGAGATTAGGGAGAAAGGGCTACTGAAGGTGACGGTTCCAGTAATTTCACGGAACGGATATAGGAAAGGAGTAGAATAAAGGGGAGACAGGAGCGAAGGGGAAACACAGGAAAGGACAGTGGAGAGAAGCAAAGGAAAGAGAGCGACCTAAAGGATTGAGAAACAGAAGTGGAGGAGGAAGGGAACCCAGTTCTGGGTGAGTGGAAAACTGATGGATGTGGGTGTTAAGTTGTGATGTGTTGACTTGTGGCTTTATGACCTATTTAATTTAATATTTGTATTTCAGTTTTGCAGATGCAAATGAGAATTGCAAAGGTCCAGTTTATAAGGCTTGCTCATTTTATAAATGATAAAATGGTTATTTGCGTCAGCAGACAGCTTTCATTTGCAGCCCTTATTCAGCCAGAGGGGAGAGTCTTGTCTCAGTCAGTCCTGGGTCTCTTCCCATTTCCTGGGATGGGATTAGCGAAGTGAACTGGGACAAGAATGACCAAGTCTATCCCCACATGGTGCTTTTTCAAGGAGTATTAAAAGTGTTGGTCTTTTATTTCTTTGAAATGGGTTTACTCTTTCCTTTCTACTGCTGTTATATTTGATTGTTTTTAAAAAACATAGTTAGTCCTAGCCACTTTTTCTCAGTGGTTAGAGCATTAGCCTGCTGACTGAAGGGGCCTGGGTTCGATTCCAGTCAGTCAAGGGCACGTACCTCGGCTGCAGGCTCCTCACAGGGCGGGGCCCTGTTCGGGTCTTGTGCAGGAGGCAACCAGTCAGTGTGTTTCTGTTACACTGATATTCCTCTCCGTCTTTCCATCTCTCTTCCACTCACTCTAAAAATCAATTGAAAAATATCCTCGGGTGATTACTAAAAAAAAAAAAAAAGAATTAAAAAATAAAAAGCATTTGAAATAAATCTTTGTTGAATTTTCCTTTTTTTGTAAATTTTCATTTACTTCCAAAATAAGCATTGGTGACATCTCATAATCAGCTCTTACCATTCTTTTCTAAATACAAGGTAGCTTAGAAAAACACAATTAACCCTGGAAGACATTATATTTTTAAAAATTTGAATTTTTCCCTTCTGAATATATTGTACCTACTTTAGATTATATGCTTTGTATTTTTTCTTTCCTGTATAACATGTGGGAACATCCATTGGTGCATATAAATGATATATTAGGCTATTTCAGTGTACACTTAGTAAGGATGGCTATGTTCTTGAGAGAACCTAGTTTTAGTGAGTTAGTATAATATTCACAGTTTTTAAAATTCCATTTATATGATTTGTTAAATTAGTGAGCTGTAAGCTTCAATGATATTCCTTTAAATCCTTTTTCTCCATTCTCTGAAAATGTTGAAGGATGGACATGAAACTTTGTTCCAAGAGAGCTCATCTGTTTATGGTGAAGGAATTTGATCAATCTAATTCCATAGCTAACATTTTTTTCAAAGTTTTCAGCGCCAAAATTTGTGTGCATCATTTTATATATTTTAAATAATTCTCTGTGAATTCCTGGAAAAGATGCAGAAAATGATTGTGTTTCTTTAAAAGACCTGGGGACAGACAATTCTATGATGGAAGGAGTATTATCAGTGTCTTTTGGACAGATCAGGCAATTGAGGTAGACGAGTGAAAGGCTCAGATGCTGGAAGCAAAAGGCTCAGAGTCAAGTAAAATCTATGAATTTTTGCAAATTATTTACCTCCAGGTGCTTTGGGTTCAGCTTCTGAAGTAGGATAATAAAGGCTCCAGCTTTGCAATTAAGTGTGTGAATATGTAGAAAGCCCAGCACAAGACCTGTGTCACTGAGGTGCTGTGTGTGCAAGTGATCACTACAAAGTGTTTCTTGTTAGAGCTCTCTGTGCTCATCAGGAACCCACTGGGACTTTACTACCCGCACGCCCTTCAATCCACCTGCCTCCTGCCCCCACACCTGTTCCCAGGTTCTTTCTTCCATCACAGGGGTCCCATGATGCTGCTGCCCTGAGTAGGAAGTCCCAGCAGCTTTGCCTGGTGTTTGAGGTCTTGGTTTTCTTGTGGCATTTTTCAAAGGTTCACCCACACCCAGCGCAGTTTGACCAAAGTTACTGGAACACCCTGAGCATTTTCACTCTTTTTTAAAATTTTTTATTTATTTATTTTTTTTCTTTTTCTTTTTTTTAAAATTAAATCTTTATTGTTCAGATTATTACATTGGTTCCTCTTTTTCCCCACCATAATTCCCCTCCACCCAGTTCCCACCCCACCCTCCGCCCTCACTCCCCACCCACTGTCCTCATCCATAGGTGCACGATTATTGTCCAATCTCCTCTCGCACCCCCCACAACCTTTCCCCCCCGCAAGCATAGTCAGTCTATTCCCTTTCTATGTCCCTGATTCTATTACAGTCACCAGTTCATACTGTTCATCAGGTTATTTATTCACTTGATTTTTAGATTCACTTGTCGATAGATGCATGTTTGTTGTTCATAATTTGTATCTTTACCTTTTTCTTCTTCTTCCTCTTCTTAAAGGATACCTTTCAGCATTTCATATAATACTGGTTTGGTGGTGATGAACTCCTTTAGCTTTTTCTTATCTGTGAAGCTCTTTATCTGACCTTCAATTCTGAATGAAAGCTTTGCTGGATAAAGTAGTCTTGGTTGTAGGTTCTTGGTACTCATCACTTTGAATATTTCTTGCCACTCCCTTCTGGCCTGCAAAGTTTCTGTTGAGAAATCAGCTGACATTCGTATGGGTACTCCCTTGTAGGTAACTGATTTTCTTTCTCTTGCTGCTTTTAGGATTCTCTCTTTGTCCTTTGCTCTTGGCATTTTAATTATGATGTGTCTTGGTGTGGTCCTCTTTGGATTCCTTTTGTTTGGGGTTCTATGTGCTTCCTGGACTTGGAAGTCTATTTCTTTCAGCAGGTAGGGGAAGTTTTCTGTCATTATTTCTTCAAATAGGTTTTCAATATCTTGCTCTCTCTCTTCTTCTGGCACCCCTATAATTCGGATGTTGGTACGTTTGAGGCTGCCCCAGAGGCTCCTTACACTGTCTTCGTATTTTCGGATTCTTTTTTCATTTTGCTTTTCTGGTTGGGTGTTTTTTGCTTCTTCGTATTTCAAATCTTTGACTTGATTCTTGCAATCCTCTGGTCTGCTGTTGGGAGTCTGTATAATATTCTTTATTTCAGTCAGTGTATGCTTAATTTCTAGTTGGTTCTTTATCACAACATCGAGGGTCTCATTAGATTTCTTGAAGATCTCAATACATTTATCGGCGGTCTCACCAGTCTTTTCGAGGGCCTTACTAAATTTATTGGCGGCTTCTAGACAGTTCTTTAAAGACCTTAAAAGTGTGGTTTTGAACTCTATATCCTGCAGTTTGCTTTCCTCCATTTCTGTCATTTGTGTCCTGTTTCTTTGTCTCGGCATTTTTATGCTTCGCTGTGTCGATAGAGTGCCTTCCTGTGCTAAGAGTCCCAATTACCTGAGTTAGACACTCTTGGTGCACCCACCTGTGGGCTTTGTGCACAGTCTTGTTGTAATTAAGCCTTGATTGTTGTAGTTATCACTGGGAGGAATTGACCTCCAGGCCAATTGGCTGTGAGAATCAGCTCTGTCTGCAGTGGGAGAACTTCTGTGCTGGAGGCACCCCTCTGGGGCAAGACTTGCTTCAATGGGGCTTTGGTGCTCACTGAGTCTGCCCCCTGAGTGTGTCCTTTAAGTTTCCACGGAGCTGCAAACTGGATGGTCCCACTCTGACCTCTGGGCTTCCTGGCTCCTGGAACTCTAGGGAGGTGCTAATCTAGCCTTTGCCTGAGGTTTCCAGCAAAAGCCTCCCTGCAGGGCTTGGGCAGGGCAGATCCCACGGGATCAACAGGGCGGGGTTAGCAGTTATGGCTGCTCTCAGTCTTGCCCTCAGAGGCTCTGCTTCTCAGTGTCCCGGTAATCGGTAATAGGTGCAAGCCCCACGGAGAGAAAGCTGCCCTAGGGTTCTGACCG